GGTAGAGAGGGAGGTGGGAGGGGGGATCGGGATGGGGAATACATGTAAATCCATGGCTGATTCATGTCAATGTATGACAAAAAGCACTACAATATTGTAAAGTAACTAGTTTCCAACTAATAAAAATAAATGAAAAGAAATTAATAACACAAGTGGCAGTTAGCCCTGTATTTATGAAATTATTAATTTTTTTCTAGATATAAATTAAAATCAATCTATTTGCAGGCTCCCAAATCAGCTTCAACATTTTAACTTGTGTGTGTGTGTGTGCACTAAGTTGCTTCAGTCATGTCCAACTCTTGGCGACTCTATGGACTGTAACCCACCAGACTTCTCTGTTCATGGGATTATCCAGGCAAGAATACTGGAATGGGTCACCATGCCCTCCTCCAGGGAATCTTCCTGATCCAAGGATTGAACTTGCATCCCTTAAGTCTCCTGCACTGGTAGGCGGTTCTTTCCTATCACCTGGGAAGACCTTTTAACCTGCAAGAATATTTTCATTGAGTGTGTCTGTATTCCTGATTTCTACTAGGATCTAGAAATGTGGATAATCCTATAAGGGACCTAGATGAAAAGTTTAGCAAGATTCAAGAAGTACTAAAACTACATGCAAAGTACTAGAAATAATGGTGGATAAATGAAGGATTCCCTGGGGTGAACGCTGAAGGTTAGAATCTCCAAGCCCAGCCAATATGATGTATCTATGTCAACATTCTTTGAAATAAGATATTGTCTCCCTACTTTCCTACTTTAATTACCATTGCTTGGGCTAGTCTCAGCTTCATAGACAAAAAACTAAGATGTAATATACAAAATCATATGTGTTTTTCAATCATGAAAAATAAGGTCAGTAGTTTCTTGAAATCACAAGATTTCCTGATCTTTACAGCACTAAACTCCCACACCTACAGGGTGAACTCCTGCTCCTCAAGGTCCCTCATGAAGTTGTGACACCAATGGCCACATTCACATTCTAGCCCAGATGAGGGAGAAGGGATAGAGGTTTAAGGACATTGTCCAGCACATGGGAACAGCATTTCCATTTATATCTCTGAGAAAATGTTTATCCCTCGACCACACAGAGCTTCAAAGGAGCCTGGACATTACAATTCTTTTATTTTTTAATTGAAGGATAGTTGATGTACAATGGTGTGTTAGTTTCAGGTGACCAGGAAC